AAATAGGAATGACAAACACTCAAGAGATGACGACTATTATGAAGATGAACCCAGCAATACACGAATCAATAGTCGTCCCAACAAAAATAAGCATGCAACTGAATAAAGCGAAGACACCGCGGAAAAACCTGTTATCAAACCTATCAGTGGTAGCTCCATTTACGGCCAACCACGAAAGGCACCTCGAATAAGGCCGCCAGTTCCTAAAAACAAACAAAATAAATACAATTACAAACCAATAAGTAATTCCAAATCGACCACTACAGCAGCTCCAGCTAAATAAACAGAAGAAACAGATTACTATGAATATGAAGAAGAAGAAGAGTTACCGCCATCACGTTCTAAACAACGTCAAAAACAAGATAATACCAACAGTTCTCCAAAACGACCAACTAAATCATCTCTAGAAAGAACCGAAATAAAAGAAACGACAATGGCCGCAGGTTACGGTTCTAGGAGAACTAAAAAGTTTTGGGCGTGCTCCTTAAAACCGTAATTACGTCCAATATATATATATATATTACGTGATATGGAAAGATTTGTACCTATTATTTTATGTGTAGATAGATGCAGTTATTTTGTCATAAGCTATACGTATGCAATACAAATACATTATTAAAAACAAAGACCATGATAAACGCAGTTCGTTTTTAATCGGCATGTCAGTCTTGAAGAAATTGAAATTCTTAAACGTAGCAATTAAGCAAAACATGGTAAAAGTAAGGTGATTCTCCTTGCTAGTGCTTAATTACCACACTTACGTAAATTGTTACAGGTGCATTTCTTTTCTAGTTTATTAACTTTCGAAGATTCCTCGACAATAAATAAAAATAAATGTGGCAATCTAGTGTTCCGTAAAATAGCGGTAGTTTTTTCCCTGTTACTCAAATTAATTAAGCAATGCACCGTTAAATTTAATTGAAGTAATGTACTTTGTAGTTATCTATCTACAAAGATCAAAATAAACGCTATAAATATGAAATGTACGAAAATGTACTATACACTAAGATACATTAAAAAATTGTCACACTAGTTTACTTCAGTCCCTGAAGAAGGTAACTTTGTTACCGAAAAGTGCTTCGGACAACTACAGTGTCTTGTTTTGGCGTTGAGGTTTTGAGCTATTCTGTTTGTTCTACAACAACCGCCAATGTTTTTCCAATCTTCATAGTAAATTTTGAATAATTAAATAAAACACATTCCGCATTCTTTTGAATTATAGTAGTATTAGCATCAAACAAGGAGGACTTAGAGAAAGCTTTAAATAAAATGGAAGCGGTACTGACAAAACAACACTGTATGAAAATAAATAGAAGTAAAACAAAGATACTATAGTAGTATGCAAGAGAAGAAAAATTAGGAAAAGAGCGAATATACAGATAGGAGACGAAAAATTAGTGACTGATTTTAGGTATTTAGGAAGATAGGTCAGGACGGAAGGAATAATAGGGATATAAAGCACAGGATAGCGCAGGGTCGTGTCACCTTCAATAAAAAGATATCACTTCTACGCTCACGAACAGAATTTAGAAATTCGAAAAAGGCTGGTGAAGGTGTATGTTTGGAAAGCGGCGCTGTACGGGTGCGAAACATAGACGGTGGGCGTGGCGGAAAAGAAAAGGTTAGAATCGTTCGAAATGTGGTGTTATAGGCGAATGATGAGGATACCGTGGATAGAGAAGGTTAGAAATGAAGAGGTATTAAAAAGAATAGGAGAACAGAGGACTCTATGGAAGTCAATAAGAAATAGGCGAGATAGGTTGGTAGGACACCTTCTACGGATGAAGGTCTAGTCAGAGACATATTAAAGGCAGAAACAGGAGTTAAGAGAAATAGAGGTAAACCTACATTAGATTAGTGTTCGTAAATAGTTAAGGATGTGGGATGTTTCAGTTTTAGGGAAATGCGAAAATTAGCTCAGGATAGGAAAGTGTGGAGATGCGTGTCCAACCAGTCTTAGGACTGACGACCTTATGATGACGATGATTCTTCTGAATAAGTTAGTCCATCACGTAATCTCGTAGTAATGTTACCATATACATACGTCGACGCTTTTTAAGTTCTCAAAAAGACCGCAGACGTCAGTTGTAGAAAATATTAGGCGGGTAATAAAACACGCGATTCTGAATGACAAGGAAATTATAAATATTTTTGTAGGAGTCATTTTATCATCGGGCGACAACTGACGATCGTTCAGTACGCACGTGCCGGTCACGTGCCCGAGGGGATTCACCAAAGATCCCTTAAAAAGCTCTCGGCATTAATATAATCGAAATAACCATTATCGTATGTTCACGTATTTGCAGTTAAAAAAAGACAACCGAGAATTTATTAAGTCGATTACGCAATTTCGACAAGCCAAAAACCTTTTTGTTGTAACCGTTCTAATATTTTTACATGAAACATATTAAGTAGATCGTTAGAAACTAATGATATAAATTCCAGGCATGATAGCTACTCAAACCGAGAAATAATAAATTTGCTACTTTTTAGTCCCTGTATTTCATCTTAATAGAATGGCATGTCGAGACAGTTTTAATTTTAATGTACAGTGCCGGACAGAAGTTTATACTTTTTTGCAAATTTCGCGTTTACAAATTCAACTTTTCCATTTCAGTATTACCTCAATTTTTTTGTATTAGACCAATAATGAATAATAGATCATATTAATTTAGAAGTCTTACTTTCAAAAGGTTTGTACCCTAGACAAAAATTTTCAGTCTCTCCCCAGTCTTTCAGAGTCTTTCTGCGTCTCTGAAAGCGTCTCTCACAGTCTTTCACAGTCTCTCAGTTATTGCCTAGGTGTTTTTATGGATCTCTCACAGTGTCTGTATGAGAGACTCGAACGATAAAATTGTTAATTCAGAGATTCGAGTCTCTCGTTTAAAAAGACTCAATGAATAAAACTGAAAAATTGAGAGACTCGAGTCTCTCGTAGAAAGACTGGAATCTCTGAAATACGTTAAACTTAGAAAATTTTAACCATGTCAATCGAGACACCACTTATTGAGAGATTCGAGTCTCTCATTCAGAGATTCGAGTCTCTCGTTCAGAGACGCTAAACAGTTTTTTTGACAGTCTCTCTCAGAGACTCGATGAGAGACGGAGACTCGAGTCTTGCTTTCAGAGACTCTGAGAGACTTAACATTTTTATCTCGGGTAATTTTTATTACACTCTTTATTATACCATTATTATGGTTTTGGAGAAATCAAATATGGGATTAACTTCCCTTTCATATTAATTTGTGTTTTTATTTCTTTAGAAAATCAAGATTTGTTACTCGCAAAATCTGTCTTCAAATTTGATAAATTACCTTCACTTTTGCTAATCTTTAATTAATACAGGTAAATTACCCCCAACGTGCGGACACCTGAGTGCTTTAATAGCCTAATTTAATTCTTACTTAAACTGTTATACTGACGCTGTAACATAATAACGTACAAAACAAAAAGACACTTTAAATTGATGTTTTCCTATTTCCTTTAAAGACACTGTCGGTCAATCAAGTGCAATAGACGGGTGGCTAATATATACCTACCAATAAAATGATTGAAACCCAGCCGTTTAAAGGCAGCTGATAAAGATGATAATAAATTTGTTTAATCAAGCAAAGGAAATTAACTGTAGGAAAGACTAAAAGAAATAAGTAACAAATGAAGTAATCAGTACAAATTTTTGTAGTTTTTGAATGGGCTCGCAACTTACTATAAACAACGCAAGTTAATGTAGAAACATTTCATACTTCTGTCAAACTCTGTAAAACTAGATGAAAAGGTATGCAGTTGAATACCAAGTTGTTTTTCTGTTTATACGGTTCAATACCAGTTATAAATCAGAATTAAGGTTTAAACAATCAATTACTGGCTTATACTAATTATCGCCAGCAACTAAAGCTGATTTATTACCAGCAATTGAATAGCTGTCCCAATTTCGACGTAAATTAGCCACTGGAGTTGAATTTTTATAAGTATCTACATTATTTATTATTAAATCCACTGCACTAAAAGGACTCGGCTTTGGATATACTGTAAGGGTTATTAATAAGGTGTTATAGGCGGATGATGCAATTATCGCGGATAGAAAAGATTAGAAATTATTGGAAAAACAAAGGGTATTGTGGAAATCAATAAGGAAAAGAAGAAATTGGTTAATAGGGCACTTTTCTAAGATGTAAAGTGTTAGTTAGAGACATATTATTAGAAGCAGAATCAGGTATATATAGGGATGTACAGGTACTCCCTCTATTTTTGCCTATATCCTTAGAATCGTTTAAAATTTTGACATTTATGACAAGTATCCTTTGCATTCTGTTAACTTCCCTGTTATATACATCAATAGCGTAAATGCTGACCAGAGGGTACCTACATTAAAGTTGCAACATCTCTTCCATTTCAATCTATCACCCCTTGCAATTTTAATACAAAAAGGTCCACGTTCTTTGTCCATTTAAAAGAAATTTGTAGTTGCATGTGTTCTTTTTGGGAGTAAATTAATGATTCCATGTATTGTTTCAGGCCACGGGGGTGTAAACCAACTGGGCGGTGTGTTCGTCAACGGACGACCGCTCCCCGACGTTGTACGTCAGAGAATTGTCGAGCTGGCGCATAACGGCGTTCGACCCTGTGATATTTCTCGACAATTAAGAGTATCTCATGGATGCGTATCCAAAATATTGTCCAGGTAAGATTTTATTCGCTTTTATTTATACAAATTTAACCCTGGAGGGGTAGCAACTGGATAACGCGTTGCTTTTAAATAGATATTGAGAATGAAATCTAAAATTTAAAACTAATAAGGGTGTCATTGAAACATCTCGATCTTTGTGATCTTTTGTATGTACCGCAATGATAGAACGTGGTAAATTTATTGACTTTTCATGATTTATCGTTATTCGATCTCCCTATATATATATATATATATATATCAGTATTCTTATTTTGATGACTAATAATAATTCCAAAAAGAGAATTCTCTCTTCGAAAACATTATTCTGGTGTCTGTATAACGACATTACGCAGTTGGTCCCGCTGTCGGACGGGAGAGATCGGAAAAGTCGTGGGGTAGTCGGTTGGCACCCTCCATATCTGTGCCTCCGTTTCCTGGTTCCGCCATTTCCCGCCAGTCGCATCTAACACGATCATACGATCTAGTGGTAGTGTTTTCCTGGCTTCTTTTTATATTTTTTCCTCCGTGTCATCTCCAAAAAGATGTCTGGTTTATTTATTCGTTCTATGCGGCCAACGTAGGTATAGCTCTTCGGGTTTTAAATTACTGGATTAATAAATATCACAAAAACCATATGGGATTGTGACTAATTGACATCAAATAGTTCACATTCACAAAAATATCAAAAAGGTTCCAAAAAATGTTTAATGTTTATAACAATAATATAAATAATCAAGTTACTGAAAGGGTTTTATTAACAAAATACCGTTCTGTAACCACAAACAATAAATGACTGAACAACTAGATCTTGCAATTAGATAAACTGGATGTAACTATAAATAAATTTAGCTTTGTCTTCTGATGTACTTTTTGATTCACTTTGTCATCAGTAGGCGCCATTTTATGATAAGATCTTTGCACGGTTTCGGTGGTTTAACAACATCAAGAACATTTTAATTAATAAGTGCCAGTAATTCTTAACTTGTTGCTAATTTAGATTCAAATTCAAGTCTGTAATTCAACTTTAATCAACTAATCTCATCATCAAAAATAAATAGAAAACAAAATTATTTCTTTAGAAATAAGTCAATCTAGAGATAGCTTTAAATAAAATGGAAGCGGTACTGAAAGATCAGTACTGTATGAAAATAAATAAAAGTAAAACTAAAATACTGATATGCAAGGGAAGAAAAAGTAGGGAAAGAGCGAATATAAAGATAGGAGACGAAAAATTAGAAGAAGTGGCTGATTTTAGATACCTAGGAAGTCAGATAAGTGAGGATGGAAGGAGTAGTAGGGATATAAAGCAGAGGATAGCGCAGGGTCGTGTCGCCTTTAATAAAAAGAAGTCACTTCTATGCTCGCGAACGGTTAATTTAGAAATTCGAAAAAGGTTGTTAAAGGTGTATGTTTGGAGCACGGCGTTGTACGGGTGCGAAACATGGACAGTGGGAGCGGCGGAAAAGAAAAGGTTAGAAGCGTTCGAAATGTGGTGTTATAGGCGGATGATGAGGATATCGTGGGTAGAAAAGGTTAGAAATGAAGAGGTATTGGAAAGAATAGGAGAACAGAGGACTCTATGGAAGTCAATAAAAAATAGGCGAGATAGGTTGGTAGGACACCTTCTCAGGCATGAAGGTCTAGTCAGAGACATATTAGAGGCAGAAACAGGAGTTAGGAGGGGTAGAGGTAGACCTAGATTAGATTACTGTTCGCAAATAGTTAAGGATGTGGGTTGTTCTAGTTTTAGGGAAATGTGAAATTTAGCTCAGGATAGGAAAGAGTGGAGGTACGTGTCCAACCAGTCTTAGATGATGACCTTATGATGATGATGAAGTCAATCTTAAATGTCAGCCATTTGTTTTTGAAAACCACAATTTTACGTGTTAAATAAGATCCAGTGTTGTAAGCTTTTAAGCCTATTGTAGTTATATTATTGGTAGCAGAGTACACTTATCTAAGTATATTAAGGGAGTAATAATTCCAATCAAGGGATTGGGGTGGACGGTCGCGTGGCGTCAAAAAAACCGACATGAAAAGTGCATATCGCCGACTGACGCACACTTGACTTTTGATCGGAAATAATGGAATGTTTTGCCTAATTCATATGATAAGTGAAGTAACTGAATCGAAGGGTTCCACAAGGAATAAAATATCATTCGATGAATTGGCTTGTGAAGTTGATTGAAATGTTTATAATAAAATAATAATGCGTTCCATCTACTCTAGTACTATCAATTTTATTGATAGCTTTTCGGCCTCTGCGACACTTTTAATCAATGAGCTAGCAAGCTATTAACCAAATTATTGGACGCAGCAAGGACGAAGTCAAAATATTCCACATTGTTTCCTTTTTTCTATATGAAATCCTTCGAAAAATTAGGTTTCATCCCCGTTTCCCATCATTGCATAATACAAATGTCAATGGCATTTCCAAATTGTGCTTAATAATGTCATTAAAAACCGATGGATACATATAATGTAGTAAAGTGTAGTGTATACGTGTCTACAAAATCCAATTATTGAATGCAGACAGAAGAGCAACGTAACAGTCTGAACAAAGAGCCCACAATTATAAGTGTATCATATAATTTTAGTAATTTTATTTGGTGCATTACGAGAACCAACCCCGACAAACCTTCATACCATAATAAAGGGTCGTAAAATACTCCTGGGACTGCACTGTTTGGCATTTATTGGGTTAACGACAACGTACAGACTTCACTCTGCACTCTATCATTTCACAATTGAAGCAATGGTTTTTGCACATGATAAAAGTCCAATTTGGCTAATCAACACAAATTAGATATTGTATGAAATGCGTGGCTGTTTTTATTTATTCTTTCTGACATATCACAGGAATTTTTGGCATGACACTATCATTGACTCACTACGTAAATCTTTGGTATGATCATATTTATTGATATTAATGACTAATCGTTTAGTTGCTGTAGATATCCTTGGTGTGACTTATATTGATTCGTGGTGGCATACTATAGTTTAGCTTCTTAAAGTAATGGAATTTTTAACATGAATCTTTCCATTGACTCACTACAGGTATTAGCTATACTATAGTCAAAGTCAACCAATCCTTGGTGAAACACTTTTCTTTGATTCGTTCTTTGGCATGACTCTTTTTATGGACTAATCACAGTAGATATGTACCTGTAGTATCACAGTTTTGTCATTCAAGATAATAGGACTTTCAGTATTGGTATGCGTCAGTTTGGATTCCCAAATTTGGCGAATCTTTAACACGTTTCTACTGACTCGTGTATACCATATTATCTTCGAGGAAATGGCTATGCTAAGGATTGAGGAGAGTATCTTTACGTATAAATTATTTATTCAAATTATTAACGGAATGGGTATATTAATTAATTAAACACGGAAAGAAAAAGAGATGTTCCTGTCTCAAAATTTTTAAACCTCTTACGAATCGGTGCGTGTATCTGTCCGTTAATGGTGAATATATTAGCCAGATCCAGACATTTGCATGTCCTGCGATGTAATCCCTTTATTTTCCTGCCTGTGCATTCCTCGAAGTCAGCATCCGCGTAATTATAATTTTTAATTTTTACATAGAGTAATTAACCGTGTACCTGATTTATCACCTATCACCTGTGTAGTCTGCCTGGGAACGAAATTATTTTAAGTAATCTTGGGTGTCGCATAACAAGTATTAAAATAGTTATTAGTTAAGTCGTGGTCCTTCGAGCCGGATTCAACGATTCCGTTTTGTTTTAGGTATTTGAACCACTTAGAACAATTACTGTTGTTACTTCTCGGTCACGTCGCCCCTGCCACATATAACTTTCGGTATAGTAATCTTATTTATTATTATTGTTTGTTCGATCATTTTCAATTTACAGCTTCGTTAGTTTAGAATTGGTTTCATTAGAAAGAATGACGCGCGCCTTATGTTGCGTACAAGATAAAGTACCAACGTATACCATGGTAGGCATGGAAATAAATACGTGCAATTACAAAGCAAAGAGGGGCACCGAGATCCGACGACGGTGGTTGCCGGTCGCGCGGTGCCCAAAGAAAATAGACAACGTCCAAACGGTCATAATTAGGTGCCCGCTGCTCGTGAAAGTTAAACAAAGAGATGTTCTTACCGCGGCCGCCTTCTAGATCGTATCGCACTCTGTTAACTAACCTGTATAATTACGAGTGTGCTGTGTCTGCATATCGAAATTAGAAACAGAAATGACGACGAGCCAAGACCAGGACGTAACGACAATGGACCGGCCGACCGGTCAGCGGACAGTTCGCAGATTACATCTATCGGTCTTTGGTCAAATAGCGAGAACACACCGAGATAATGTCGCTGTGCACATTTCTATCTAGCAAAACGTCGTTTGGCAATTAGATCAAAGCCAAAGACTAATTGCTTACTTCTCTCATTCTCACCAAACTGGGTGCTGCTACAACAATTTTTAAAACAAATGTATTATTAAATAGCGGGATTTTGTAGGTATATGTATATTATATTATATATATTCTTGTCATTTGGTTTTAAACTTGTAGCCATTGCTTGTTTGCTGAATCCTTTTTGGTCCTTCGAGCCGGATATTCCTGCGCTTTTATTTCTATTTGTTCATGTTTGCCTCCTTTTCTTTCAGATATTATGAAACGGGTAGTTTCAAAGCTGGCGTAATAGGAGGCTCAAAACCAAAGGTAGCAACACCCCCGGTGGTGGACGCAATAGCGAATTATAAACGCGAAAACCCCACCATGTTTGCCTGGGAAATCAGGGACCGGCTACTAGCCGAAGGGATTTGTTCCCAAGACAACGTGCCCAGCGTGTCATCGATCAACAGGTAAGTTTTTATTGAAAGTTTATCCCTATTTTAACACATTTTGAGGAAGCTTTTAAATCAGCAATCCAGAAAATGTTATCAACTCATCTTTAAGTTGGGCTTCAAATTTTCTGAATTATTTTGACATAGGGTGATGTACAACAAAAAAGCAGATGTTTCGTGTACACGAAACAAGGGGTTTATACATATAGCAATCGAGGTAGAAGTATCTATATGTATTCGAAACAAATGTCGCGTTGACATTTTCAAAAATGGTCTTGAATTACCATTTGTTTGGTTCTCTTTTGTTAATAGTGAGTGTGGCGGGTACTGATACGTTGTAATAGACAACACCCAAGAGACAAACGGGCCAAATTAAATGTGTCAAATCAGCCCCCGCGGGGCGACGCGAAAGCCCAATCCATTCTCTACTCCTGTTATTATTCCTGTACACCACCCCCGACAGTCCGGCGGTCCGCATTATAAATATAGGGTGGATTTGATTACACCATTGTTTTTAATCAATTGACTTGACTCATCAGCATCGGTACATCATGACGGCCCTGTTTATTAAATAAAACAATTAATGGATATGAAAATGTGGCATCAAGGATAAAAATATTTATTTTCTTACACTGCTTGTTGATATAGCAGTGTTATCATCTAGCAAGAAGGAGTTAGAGATAGCTTTTCATAAAATGGTACTGACAAAACGGTATTGTATGAAGGTAAATAATAGATAGTAAAACAAAAATATTGTTTTTGAATGGAAGAAAAAGTAGGGAAAGAGTGAATATAAAGATAGGAGACAAAAAATTAGAAGAAGTGGCTGATTTTACCCGTAGGAAAAATTTCCATTCTATTTCCATTAAAAAATGCCATTTTATTACCACTGATAATAATTAATGGTAATAAATGGAGAATTGCCAATGGGATGAATGGAATTTCCACTAGAATCCTCGAACTCAATGGGACTTCCTTTGCTGAACGCAATGGGATTTCCCTTGCGTTCCATTGGAACTTCCATTCCTGAACCCAATAGAACTCCTAGTGTCAATTCTTTTTAATCAAGGTGAAATATGAGGAAAATATTAATTACATGACAATTATTATTCAAAATAATGTCTT